CTGTATCCTGGTTCTACAACAGGAGCAATAGCAACAAATGGGACCTGGCACCGTTGAATGAAGTGAGATGATGGAGGATTTGTATCTGCCATCCAAAGACGCAGATCCATCCAGAAAGGGACTGCACCACTGAGTGGGATGTGCGGAAGGCACTTTCAGTAACGACAACAGGAGTCGTGTGAGTGGTTGTACAGGAGCTGTGCAGTCTCTGGAGTGGTCCCGTGATGATGCCTTTTGTACAGAGCCAGAAGCACACTTGAAAACGCTTTGGGACTGGCTGCTAATAGCTAAAGGTGAGCAATATCCTTTTTGTTGGAGAGACTTGGGTTCTGTCTCTTATCTCCTTTCCCTGTAGGTATCCCAGGAGCTCTGAAGGTCTTCTCCGTTCCTTCCAGTCAATGAGCTACACAGCTCCATTGGGACCTTACCCACAGGGGAAGGATTAACATGAGCAGGACTGTCATTTCCCCCAACTACGTTCTTTCAGTCTGAACTCAAAATAGTTCCTCAGGATCAGTATCTTCCAAGATCTTCAGACCTGGTAGCAACTCCTTCCCCATCACCAGTCAGGACCACCTCTGATACGGCAAATCCATCATTCCTGTAAGCAATGAAGTACTTGAGATTGCTTTGGCAAGCTGTGCCTCCCTTACCACCGCCAGCAGCAGAGCATGTAAATGCAGGCAGGGAGAAGCACTCTCCAAGCCTTGCTGATAACCTTAGCAACGCATTTGAAGGGTGGATTTCTTCTCCTTCAGCAACCTAATGATTTCTCAGCTCCTCGGCTTTCACAAGCTGTTTAGAAACTTCCTTGGCCGGAGCCATATCAGACAAGTCTCTGTGTTTCCGTTCTCCAAGGGTACCTGCAACCCGAGGGAGTCACCGGGCGTTAATTTGTCTGAGCACAGCCTCGCAGCAGCCGGTAAAACCAAGTGTTAGCTTGGCCTGGGCCCCTTGCTCGGGAGGGAATTTCATCCACATCTGAAAGCTGCTTAGGCTGTTATTTTGATCTCTATCGCCATACAGAAATCTTCTCTTTGTTTAACAACAGCCCAACATGCTGCTAAGGAAATTTAAGCGCAGTCAGCAGTGGGCTGCAGACTCACCGAGGCAGCAAGCTGCCGCAGCAGAGCGTGCACCCGCGAGGACAGATCCCGCTTTGGCTCTGTACACTATCAAACTATGCAACCTCAAGGGCTGTGACTATTTTTCAGAGCTGCAGCGTTGCTGGTGCAATCCTCCCTTCAGATGTAACTGCAGTGGCTCGGGCTGCCCCGTGCAACCCCGCTCACCGTCCCTGCTGGCCTGGGGAAGCTGTGTGGTAGCAGCACCTCTGCTCAAGGGCAGTTTTTGCTGGTGAAGGGAAATGGAGCGTAGCCGAGAGCAGGGACCTGCCTGGAGTCTCAGGCGAGGCGAGAGGCAGAGCGCGGCAGAGGGCTCCGTGTGAGCCCTGGCTCCTCCTCCTATGCTCTACCCAAAACCAAGCCAAGGCTGGTGAATGAAGACTTGCCCGCCCTTTCCATCACTGGGTTAGCCTCCCTGCCTGAGAAATCTCTGCCACAGTTTCCCAGAGGTATAAGCTGAGCTGCCTGAGGCATTTTGGTGCCCTGAATGAGGACAGACTCCAACCCCGGTACCTTCTGCCAGGCAAGCAGAAATCGTTTCCCCCCAGGTGGACGTGTGCCGGTGCTGACAGAGGGCACTGGTCCAGTGCAAAACGTCTGCTTCCGAAGTGAGCTGACATTCAGCTGTTTGTTGAGCCCTGCCCTGCAGCCTTCCAGGCAGAGGCCTCCTTATTTATCTTAATACACCTCTTCGGATCTCATTGCACGCTGCAAGGACAAGAGACTCCTGTAACAACCTACCCTGTCTCCTAAAGTCTGAGACAAGCCATTGTAATCTCAAAGAGCTTTCTTAAAGCATGCCCAGAGGTTATCCTCCATGGCTGACAAGCCTCAGAGATAGGGAAATCAAAGCCCAGACTCTCCTCCCTTTATAATTCAATGACAGTATCAAATGCTGGCAATGCCACAACAAGTTTTTCTGCTCACTTGTGTCAAATGAAACAGGATTTTAATTCAGACTTCTGCCCTCAGCACACAAAAAGTTACAACAAAATTATTATATCCACCTGAGCCCACAGTTACCGCTTACAGAGATCCCTCTGAATCCCAGTTCAGTGGGAGAGAGTTAAGGGATGGAGAGAGAAAGAAGATGCATGGAAGTGAAGAACAAGCAGATGAGAAGTACCTCCTCCCAGGAGAGCTCTATCCTCACAAAATCTAACGAACAAAAAACATTTTGGGACTGAGATGTCCCAGGTCCCCCAACTGCCGTTCTAGAACAAATTCCCAAAGGGAATGGACGCGGAACACAGGCCACATCGCAGCAATGCCGTATGAAGGTCTTTCCTCCTAAATTTTAATCAGGGACAAAGGATTTAGGGGGAGATTTTCCAAGGGAATGCACAATGCACACTTGCAGGAAAGTTGGCTGAGCAAAACTCACCTGCAAGTGCTGAGCAGGAGTGCTGCAAACAGCCACCTGGAAGAGCCTCTCCCCAGACCATGTCCCTTCCCTCCTTCCCACGCTACCCTCAGCATTTTTTTCATCCCTATACGCAACCAGATCAACCTGGACGCCTTTAGGTCATTGCAATTTCCAATCTGACAAACCATCAGCCAACAGAAAGCGTGGTCGTTGTGCAGGTCCTCGCACATCTCGCAGCCCCTGGCTGGGGACCGCTGGCTCTAGCAGTCATGTCAGGAGAGGGGAGGCTTGGGTGGGATGTCTCCTGCTCTCCTCTCTATCGGGACAGGATGCATCTCCCTGTCCTCCCCAGGGCAGGTTGTTGGCAGCCAGTTGAGGAGCACTTGTGTTGCAAGGTGGGTTGCAAGTTGCACCTACCAGGGCAGAGCAGCTGCCCATTTCTTAGCCAAAAAAAGCCATTAAATGGGACAGAAGTGCCTTATAACCTGCTGCAGCTAATCTCAATGGGTTTCAGCTACAAGCCACCCCAGATCCCTCCCGACATCAGTGAAAATTGCTTTCTTGGAAGCACAAATGGAGAAAATAAGTTGCTCAAATGGATATACCACATTTCTGGGAGAGATCCTGCTGAAGATGAAGCAGTTGGGAGAAAGGAATTGATTCATCTTTGATTCAAAATAGCTTTACCATCACACTGTGTGGGGGAGGCAAGGGAGAAGGCAGTTTGGTGAGACATGCTCACACCATGTCCCCGCACCACCACTGACACCCAGAGGAGCCAAGGACTCAGCCAGACACTGGCACAGCCACCCCAGAGGAGGGACTCGGCACCTGGACGTCCCTGGGCATCGTCTGGTGCGTTTTCCTAGGGCCAGAAACACAACTGAAAGACTGAAATTGCACGCAAAATCTTCATTTCCCCCCCCAGTATTATCAAACACCCTTAAACATTAAAATAGTTCCTTCCAACATGTGCGGAGCAAGAAATTTCAATCCTTTCAAAGCTACTTTCTAGTTTTACCTAAATTTTAATTCATATACATTTCTACAATACCCATGTAAAAGAAACTGGGATCCAATTGAAATTAGTAAAATTTCCCAAAGTCAAATATTCCAATTGACCCAAAAATTGCTCTTTGAAAAATTAATGAAGAACTTTTGATTTTCATCCCTAACCAGGATAGAAGAGACAATTTCAATGTTTTTCAGACAGCATGGGTAACAACATGGTTGAAAAAGCCTGAACCAGTTGTTTAGCCTGTACACAGTTTAAAGCAAAATTAATATCTCCCCACATTTTTGCTGTTTTTCTAGCTGAAATTGCACTTCAAGGCCATGCCTTATCAGTTCCTCATGCTTTGGAATATGATGCAAAAATTTGATTAAAAAATAAATCTGATTTGAATAATTTTCCATCTTTCTAGACCCCAAAAGGAAAACATATGAGCCTGCTGATGCAGATGGCAGGGGACCCGATGCTTCCCCTCGCACTAGTAAAAAAACTTGCATCACTTGGGGTGCCCTGAGAATTGCCAGCCACAAACAAGGGCTGTTCAGGTGAATTAATAACTGAGGACCATAAAAAAAAAAAAAAAAAAAAATCCCTCCCAGGTGCCCAGACCTGGCAGGAAAGGGATTCTCTGCTCCCCACGTTGCTCCTCATCCTCCTCTCTGCTCCGATTTCCTCCAGGAGTGTTTGAGGAAAAGCAGCCGGCAGCAGATGGAGTCCCCGCTCCTACTTCCCAACCGCGCTTGGGGAACCCTCCTCCAGCCCTTGATTTTAATTAGGCGGTTTTGGAGTCATCCCCCTCCCGAGCGAGGGGAGCTCGTTAATGTTTCTGCAGGAAAAGGCCCCAGAGGCAGGAGCTGCAATATTGTCTCTAGAGTCTCCTAATTAACTCTGTGCAGATAATGAGGTAGTAACCGATTACAGCCAGGGTTAGGGAGGCAACGCTTTTTGCTCCAGTTACTTGTGTGGTCAGGAGGGGTGCAGACACCCCTCAGCTTCTAGTAGTGATTTAATTGCAAATAAACAAAGACATTGCTAATG